GCAACCTTGCCAACTGGTGTTCAAAGGCAAGCAAGATTCTCCAGAGAACAATGGAGGGAGTCAAACCATCTGCAGGTTCTGTATGGCCCACCATGTTTAAGACCACAAAGCATTATCCATTACAAAAATACCTCCCTACAAATAAAACCTGCAACAAAAAAGGAAAATAGAATTCGTTTGTTAGTTTATCTCAGTTTTTTTTTACCATTATATTCTATAGTAGTGCTTGACTTACAGCAGTTCATTTAGTGATCGTTTAAAGTTACAACATCACATTATGACTGTTTTTCACACTTACAACTGTTGTAGCATCCCCATGGTCACATGATTTATATTCGGAGGCTTGACAACTGACTCACATTTATGACAGTTGCAGTGTCCCGAGGTCATGTGATCGCCTTTTGTGACCTTCTGACAGGCAAAGTCAATGGGGAAACCAGATTCACTTAACAACTGTGTTACTAATTTAACAGCTGCAGTGATTCACTTAACAAATGTAGCAAGCAAAGTTGTAAAATGCGCTAAAACTCACTTAACAAGTGGTGTGCCTTTTGGTTTTATTGTAGTTTTTCAAGTCTGGTGGAAAATAATAATTCTCTTACAACTGTATTATGCAAAATATTTAATATCCTTGCAGTATTTCTTTTACCCAATCACCACTGCTCATAGGAAATGAAGAAGAGCCCTGGTATAAAGTGATTGTTTAAACTGTACTGGTAGCCCATGTTTAGTGATCATTGTTGGAAGTGATAACTTAGTCATTAAGCAAAGTGCTCGCTAAGTGAACCCATATGACTGTGCTTAAGGGCTTACTTCAGCTTTCCTTTGCTTTACAGACCTGTGAAGGTTGTAAATGTAAGAATTGGTCACAAAATTTTTCTTCTGTCACGATGACATGAGGATTACCTGTAACTTTATTTAATGTTCCAGCAAGCAAGTTCAAGTCAAAATTTAAAATAAAATATTGAACTGAGCAAACTCTTTTTTAAACAAATATGTCATCTGAAGATACAAACCCCCCATCACCATTTTAATTGCCTAAACAATTAGGGCAGATCCTTCCTAAGTTTCTCCCTCTCGCTCTTAATTGACCAAGTTTCCCCCAAAATAAGACCTAATAGGAAAATAAGCTTTAGCTTATGCATCATGGGCAGGCCACGCCCACCCCAGCTCTGTGAAGGGAAAAAACAGTGTGGAACATCACATGACGGCACCGTGACACCACGAGTCTGACATCTGTGCTCTATTACCATCTTCCCCAGAATCTGTTTATATCGTGACAACAAAAGCTGAATGAAATAGTATGTTCCAAGTATGGTCTTACATCACACTACATGCTATATTTTGAATGAAATACTTGAATTATAAAACATGTTTTGAGTTTTAGTACATTTTAATGTATTTCATTTGTTATCTAAACGTTGAATAAATGGAATGAGATACAGGCCAGTGCAATGCACTTTACAAATCAGCATAATTTTGCAAATCTCAAGTGCCTTAATCGTGCCATATACTCCCATAGGATTGCCTTATTTTAGAACTTGTTTTCTAAAAAGGCCAAGGCAGCCTGAAGTGCTAATGATTTATTATTAGGGACTTGTCTATAAACAGGTTTCTGCAATATTTATATTTGGGATACAGAGTTTCCAGAAGTATATAATGATACTACAGCATTAATAATAAATTTAGATTATTTATTTCCAATGAAGAGCAAGTTATACTTTTTATTTTATGGACTATACTTGGAGTTTGACTAGCAAGCCAGGGATCATAGTCCAAAAATTGATTTGTGTGTGTGTATGTGTGTGTGCGCGCAAGCACACACACATACACACTTTTTTTTGAAATTTTTTATTGTTTTAATTAAACAAAAACACACAAAAAACGAATCATCTTTTGTTACATCTTGTAGAAAGCGTGTCGATTGGTTACAAATACATTTCGCGCGTTTCTTCCACAATCATTATATATACTTCATTCAAATTGAGTTGTACATTTTAAAATTTATGTATTTTACTATCACTGTACTACAATTCTCATTTGGTTACAGTTATTTAAACATGCTTTTATCTAAAATCATTTGTATTTAAAGACACAACCACCTACTGGCATACATTCACAATGTCAATAAACTTCCCATGACTTTACACCTTTATAACATATTCTAAAACAAAGTCAGTTAGTAGGATATCTAAGCATTCCCTCCCTCTTCCCCTCCCCCCCAACTCACAAATTAAAGCTTATATCCAATTTGCTTTTACTGGTACAACACAGATGTATATATCATTAAATATTATCCATTAAC